ACTACAGGCCCCTGCCACAATGTCTGGCTATTTTTTCGTTGCAGTTCAGCCAGGCCAGGTTTGAACCCGCCACCCTCGGTATATGGGGCCGGCACCCTACTCACTGAGCCACAAGCGCCGCCCACCTTCAGTTTAAATTTTCCAAGCATGCTAAGGAAATTTCTCCACTGAGACTCTGTGTAGGTGATATGTTGATAACATGTCAGGACCTTGCAACAGGAAATAATATAAAATGTGATTTTTTAATATCTAATTTGTAACTGGGACTGAAATCTTTCATGGGTACAGTAAGCACCTTCTTATCTAATTATTGGCCATTTGTGGTATTCTAATAACCCCCAAGAAATTACAATGATTGGGTTGGTAAACTATTCTGAGACGGCTGCATGGCATGAGCCACAGAACACAGCGCTTGGATCTGCTATTTCTTCTTTGGTAAATGGTTAAAACCTTGTTGGTTGCTTCTCTGTGAGGCAGAAAGAGAAAAGAATCCCAGGAGTGGTGACTTTGTAATCCCCCCCCCAAAAGTCCTGGATTTTTCATTTAGGTTGCCATCTTAGAGTATGAAATTAATTTGAAGGCCCTGTGGCAAATTCCTGAGTAACAGAACTCTCAGGATGTTTCTGCTTCTCTTGATGCATCCAGTTTGGAAATTAAGTCTAGGAATGAAGCCCTCAGCAAAAAGTTTTTGGCTGGTTGGTGGTAGACAGATGTAAATGATCGCTCCAAACTTTGTTCATTCACACAACAGGCACATCTTCCTCTCCCTGTACTTGTCCTTTCTGTCCCTCTTGACTCCCACCAAACCTGCCTGTTAGACTGTGCCTCTAACCAGCTCTCATCTATCTGTGACCTCCTTCCATCCTGCTAGATGATGAGTAGGCAAATCTGGGCTTGCCTCCTTCCTGAGGCCTTTCCTGAATAGCTGAGTCATCCCTGTTGCCAAATTCTTCACTTTATTTATTCATCCCACTCTCAGGCTTTTTCAAAAGCCACCTCCCACTGTCTTCTGAGAGCCATCTTACTCCTGCCCTACCATTCACCATTTACCTGTTTTCATACCTTTTGAGATCTATGGCAGAAGCTTTAAAAATTCTACAAAATACCAAAGATTAAGAAGTTCCACAATAAAAAGGTAGCTAAGAATAGCTTTCTCTCCACTTCTAATTACAGTCAGCCGTGGAGTGGGCCTTGAGTCACTAGGCACAGGAACAAAGTGGTTAATGGGGACGGTTGGATGGGCCTGAAGCAACTCAGTTCCCCTGCACGGTCTAAAGGGTCAAGCACTGAGATATGAGGGAGAGTCTGCACGCTGGTGGGTAGAGCAGTTAAGTTTCCCCTTTTTTAATAAAACTATTACTGCAGTCCTTCCCAGTGCAGTTTGCATAGCAATTCTGAGTCATTTTAGATAAAAAGGGAAAGCAGTGGTTTTTCCAGCACACCGTCTAAGATCTCACCTGTCCTTTTCTTCCTAGGTACTTGGAAGTTCTGGCAAAACATACCTTTGTTTGGCCTCTTGTCATTATTGTTCATGTCCTGCATTTGCCTTCTCAGTGCTACGGAAGAGTGACAGTCTACTGGTGAGGATGGGGGAGAGAAATTGCTAGCCCTTACTCTGTGGTATAGGAGTTAGACAAAACGGAATTTTTCCTCTGTATGGAAACAAGTAGTAATTTATTGTCCTTGGCTTCAGTTAGGCATTTCTTTTGAGTATACAGTCATGTCTTTTGGGTTTAGCCTCCCAAAATACAATGTCATTTTTAGAACTACACCAGTTTCCTACATTTTTATGGGTATTGTGGGTACAGCTTTGAAGAGGACAACAGGATAGTCCTAGAAATTGATACTGGGGAATTAGGTGTCCCAATACAAATAGGAACTAAATTGGTTATTAGCAACTTCGTATATCCCCACTTCTAGCCATGAGATGTGTCTTCCCCCTGCAGTGAGCGAGCCTGGCACCACACTTGACTGTCACATGGGGCTGGAGTGTCTTTGCCTGTCCCTTTAGCCCTTTGTTGGTTTCGTCAGCATCCAGAGCATCAAGCAGAAACAGAATATGCTTACCTACACCTTAGTCCAGAGGGAGAGGCACTATCCTCCTGAGGACAAGGAGCTATGTTTTAAGTCTTACAAAGAAGAAAATAATGGCCTCCACTCCATTCTTCCCCTTTCTTTTATGCTGTTAACTTCTTAAATATCTTAAGACCTAGGTGGCAAGTTGGGTATCCCATTGTATAGGAAGGATTCATACATTCATAGCTTACTGCCATAACCTTATTTTACCTGTCAGATGATAGGATTCAACTAGGGCCCCTTTAACATCTAAAGCTGTATTCAGTGACATCACATCCAATAGTTATCTCCCCAGAGGTGTGTACAGGCCAATATATGTGAGAGTTTTGGGCCCACTCTTCCCTGCCCCTTAGCCCAGAAGAACGTGTATAACACAGTAGTTAAAGGGGTAGACTATAGACTCTGAGCACTTGGTTGTAATACCTATTCTGGTAGGGTAGATTTAATCTGTCAGATTTAAAATACATGAGAAGCACTTAGCAACATGTGCCTCAAGGAATGTTAGTCATTGCAGTGAAAGCTCTTTGAAAGCAAAGGAGAAACATAATTTAGGACTAAAACGAGAAGCCTGTCTTGGTTTTTACCACGGCTTAAAGACCCTGTGCCCACTAGATGTAAACTATTTCCCAGAGCAGCAGACAAAATAAGTCTGTCTTTATCCTCTCTAACTTCTAGAGATAGTACACCTCTTTCATCAGCTTTATCAGCAGTACTAAGGCAGTAAGGTAAAGTCCCCATGATCTGTACTCTAGTCCTTTCCTGCTAAACATGGTGGTAATGAAAAGCCTTGAGGTCTTGGTTAGACTGCTCAGTCCTGGCCCCGCCTATCTCTAACAGGATCGTGTGCTTTCTATTCCAGTGCAAGCATCTCTTGGCAGTTTATCTTAGTCAGGTCACGAGGACCTGTCAGCAGCTAAGTGTCTCTGACAAGCAATTGACTGACATATTATTGACAGAGAAGAGACAAGAAACATAAAAGGTACAGACTGAGCATCATCAAGTCGAAGCCCATCAAGAAATACATTCAGTGTGTCATGGCTCACGTGGAGCAGAGGTGAAACGGATCTCCAGAGACCTTATTACTATCCTTTTCCTTCCTGGACTGAGGAGGGGCTGTGGGTTGTGGAAGGTGTATATATGTTTAGAAGCCCAGCACAGTTTTCTCACAAAAAGCCTGAACCAGCCTCTGGGCCTCTTGAGTAAAAAATGTCCCTGGATGGAGTCAGCATTTTAGAGTCAAATAAAGCCTAACATCTTGTTATGTCTATGATTATTTAGTTTCTTAATTCTTCCTAAGATCACTGAATTACTAGTGATTCTTAAAAGACTAGAATGGTAGGCCAAACTTAGTAAGATGAAGTTTAAATGAACAGATATTAGTTCTTTTCCTTGGGTCCAGAAAACTATTCAGCAGCAATAAAAGATCATAACAGAGATGTGGCCAAACAGCAGCAATGTAGAAAAAGGGAAGAGCTGGTCTTGTTCTACATATACCTCTCAGCTTTATAACAGAACAGATGAAGGAGCAGACAATAAATCACATCCTGGAAGAAGATCACAGTTACTACTAGGGCTTTTCAGGCTGAAGAAGAAAAGAGCAGGAGGGGAGAGGTAGGAGGCTCAGTTGGACTCCAAGAGAGAGGAGCAATGATAGATGAAGATGAAAACGAGATTTCACACGGGCAAGAATTTCTTAATAGATGGAGCTGTCTAGAGCCAGAAGTAGATCTTAGAGAGCCAGGACTTCTCTATCTCTATAAACCTGCACTGTCCTTCAGGGATACTGCAGAAGGAACTGAAGCATGGACAAAGAGATGAACTAGAATAACCCAAGAAACCCCTACCCTTCCGCCTCCCAGACACGAGGTGCTAGTGAATGAAAACTAGGTGAAAAACCACAGATGGTTGCAGTATGTGTTCTGTGGTCAGCAGTGCCTTTTGTTAGGTCGAGAAGTAATGAAGTCCATCAAGACTTTCATGCTACTTGGGAAACTCCGAGTATCAAGCTTTTTTTTTTTTCAAGCAGCCTTCAGAGTAAAGTATAGAAGGTAGAAACAGCTCTGTATAACAAGCTAATGTAGCACCATAAGTTTGTCTTTTTAAGAATTTTATTTTTATTTCACTTAAGATACATCCAGAGTTACATAATTTTACTTACTAAGATTTCATACTTTGGGTTCCAAGAACTTGGCCAAATTTCAACTTGGGAAAGAAGCAAAATTTACTGTATAGCTCTAGAAGGGAGAATTTGGGAAGGGAGAGATCTCATTTCACTAGTTTCTTCCTCTAGAGTAGTTTTCTGCATATGATAAAGAATAGAGCTTAAAGTTGTTATGTGATGAAAGTTCTACTTAAAGAACTTACAAAAATATCATTTCCTTACATTAATATAGCAGTTTCTTGATTGAAGAATTATAGTTTAATTTTCCAGGTTGCCTTCTTGGGCACAGGTATACATTTTTAGTACAGCCAACTTTCATTTTTCTGTAGCCTCTAAGTTTTAAAAAATTTGCATACTAGTTCACAGTGTTTCACAGTAAAATAGTTTGACAGTTTCTACCATAAACAAGGCAGACTTTTAAAAACAATAGTCTTTTAACATCCATTCAAGTTGTCGGCATCATCCACATAGTAGGAGCAGCCAAATAGATCATAAATACATCTGTCAACCCTTAGAGCCAACTAATAACACATACATACTAGCTAGATAAGTGGTAATTGCAGGGAAGTGCTCAGAAGAGGCGGCCCACATGCTTGTGAGGTGTAGCCATCCATCACAATGAGAATCAGTCTTGTCCTGGTTCTTTGTGAATTGTTAATTTGTGCCTGCTCCTGGAAGAGGCCAGAGCCCAGGTCATAGGCCCACATCGAGAGCAGGCTGTACCCCTACCTGTCCATTCCCACTCTTGACATCTGTCTGGCACAGAATATACCTGGAGATGATTTTGTGAAAAGTATAGCGGAAGTCTTGATTCCGGTAAGCATAGACAATGGGATTAACAACTGAATTGGCATGTGACAGTAGAATAGCTATATTCATTGTCCACTTGGGCTTATTTTTAGCCCGAGCTGGCTGAAAAAGAGTGACACAGTTGATGGCATGTACTGGTAGCCAGCACAGAGCAAAAATCCCCACTATCATGGCCAGTGACTTGGCTGCGTGGATCTCCCGCTGGAGGGTGGTCCTCGAGTGGTACATCAGCTCAGTGCGCTGAAGTTGTCTGCAGGCCACCAAGAAGATCTTGATGTAGATCACCAGCATTATGAGCAGTGGGGGCAGGACACACCCAAAGAAATTGAAATATACCATGTAGCTCATGGGGACCACATTCTCAAAGAGGCACTTCACAGGGCAACAGCTTTCATTGATCGTTCCATCCCAAGGTTCTGTGCAGTTGTTGGTGGCAGTGTCTTTACTGTTCCACCCCAGGAATGGAGTCAATCCAATGCCAAATGCAAGGACCCAGAGAACAGCAATGACCCCTCTTGCTCGGGTCCCAGTGACCAAACTTTTATACCTGTTCAAAAGAACATCATTTGTTATGGTCAGTTTAAAGTACTTTGCAACCAAAGTTGAAGACCCCACCTTGGCTTTGTCCCATGACCCTTGAGCCCTAACAACTTCTGAATTTCACTCTCCGGGACACTGTTGCCTTTACACTTCAACACTAAAGGCCTGTAAGAAGTATGTGCGGCTTAGCTCTAACAAACTCAGTAAGATTTTCATTCTTGACTTAGCAACTCATTTCTGTTTAGTGATTAGTCAATGAGAAGAGGTAGAGAAGCCTTAAAAGAGCATCGTAAGTCCACACTGAACATTGATGGGTTCTTTGAAACTGTGACTTTAGACAAAACAACTTACTGTCAGAACTTAACTCATGTTTAAATCAACTGTGGTAAATTGGTGTTGTAAGAAATTCTACCACTTCATTTAAGATGCAGTTTCCAAGAACATATCAATGGTAAGTGAGGACAGACTACACTTCCTAGTACTAGGAACTGATCTCTGAACCTGGGTCTTCTGTAAAGCACTGTTCTAGGTGATTGACGTAGACCAGTGAACAGAACACAAAGTTCCCTGCTAAATCTTAGCAGGGGGAAACATAATAAACAGCAAACATAAGTTAGTATGGAGAGACATGTGGTATGAAAAATGAAAAGGCAGGGCTCAGCGCCTGTGGCTCAGTGGTTACAGCGCCGGCCACGTGCACCAAGGGCAGCGGGTTCAAACCCGGGCTAGGCCTGCTAAAACAACAATGACAACTGCAACAATAACAAAAGATAGATGGGCATTGTTGTGGGCACCTGAACCCTAGCTACTTGGGAGGCAGAGGCAAGATAATGGCTTAAGCCCAAGAGTTTGAGGTTGCTATCAGCTGAGACACCATGGCACTCTACAGAGGGCAAGATAACATTCTGTCTTAAAAAGAAAAATGAAAAGGCAGAGTAAGGAAGATCAGAACTGGCAGAACTACAGTTTTGTGGTGAAGGGAGGCTTCATTGACAAGGTGACTTTGAACAAAGGCAGAGGAAGTAAGCACTGGAGCCCTCCTAAAGTCAGGAAGCACTGCCTGTGGTTCCAAGCAAGAATCTCTGGTCTCCCACAAATAACACAAGAGATTTGCCTTGGACTGTGGACAGAATCTTTTCAGATTACCTCTGTAAACTGCTGAAGAACAAGAGTTCTGGCAGTGTCCTCTCTATAGAGAAATACTATCAACAGAGTTGGTAAAAATTGATAAATACCAAATAGTCATTTTTAAGCCACTAAGTCTTATTTAAAAAATCACTAGAACCCACATTATACGTCATAGATATTTTGTTTATCAATCGTATTATCTATACATGGTTTACACCAAAGGTATTAACTTTGTTATTAATTATTGGCCCATTATATGGATGTGATATATAAAGGGATGTATTCAGTGTAACGTTAAAAAAAATGGGATAAAATCTTTCTGTAATCTCTTAGGGGGAAACTGGGAAATAATTTGATTCACCTTACCTTAATACTTGTCTGTGAAAATATCTGATTTCCTTTGTCTGTAGGATAAAGTTGCCACTTCTCAGCATGACTCAGAACCCGCCAAGCGTCAGCCCCACATGCCCAGTGCCTCCTATTTCTGACCCGTGGCTCCCTTCTGGCTCACGGTATCCTTAACATCAGACAAAACGCCATTTTTTTTCCAAAGGTTATCTCCTTTCTTGGTTACGTCTTAGAGGCAGCCATTCTCGCCCTCTGACCTCATACACACTTGTCATAGAGCCTATTTATCTGTTACATGTGGTTTCCCTCAACTAGAATGTCAACCTCTTAAGGACAAGGACCTTGACCCTTTGTAATGTTATCCCCAGGACCTAGCACAGTACCTGGCACACAGTAGTTCTTAATAACGTGAGTCATTACAAAAGTTTTGAGATACACAAAAATCAAGAAATGTAAAATCTGTGCAGACAGAAATACCTATCAGCACCGATAAGGTGAACAAGTTGAAACTTACATAGGTGAATCAGAAAGGATGCTGTCATCTGGGTAAGAAACAGCTTCCTTCCAAGAAGGAAGTGAAATAATGAACCATGACACAATCTATCTCACAATTTTCATAGTGACCTACATAATATGGCTATTCTGAATATACTCCCCATTTGTTATCTGACTTATCAAATAGCTTTAAAACAAGATTCTGCTTCCTAGAATACCTGATGCTGTAGCCTGAATAGGCAAAAAACAAGTAGCCTGCTGAGGAAGTTAACTGAGGTCCTGCCCCACAATTTATAGCAATCTCCAATCTTTCCCACCCCCATCAGGGTACCTCTTAACAACAGGTAGCTCAATTAGTACAGATGACCTGCTGGGCTCAGTTGCACACTAATTTTTTCTTGGCCAGTGAATCCATCTGTTTCCAAACCCTTTCTGTGTCCCTCATTCAGGAATGTAAAGCCTTCCTTAAAAACTGTTATTCCTGGCCATTGCTTCACCAGAGATAAGAATAACACAACTAGTCCCTGCAGGATAACAGGGAAACCTCTTAAAGTCTAAGAACTTAGAATTCCAAAATTTCAGGTCCATGAGGCAGCTTCAACAGCCTGCCCTTACTCCTTCTGACCAGATTACAAGTTAGCCATCGGGGATGGATTTATATTTGGAGTTAACACATCATGCTAACTTTTATTGGTGACTGGGTCTAGAGTGAGGTTCTGGCCAATGAAGCATAAAAAGATATCTGCTGGAGGTCCTCCAAGAAAGATTCTACTTCATAAAAAG